GCTGATTCTCATTGTCATCAATTACATCAAAGTTGTGAGCCCTCTAGTCAGACGGATTTCTCGGGTTGAAACTCTGTCTGAGAAAACCACCACTATGGCTTCTTCAGATAACCGAGTTAGCAATTCCAAGAAATGCAAGTTTTCCGGTTGCTTCAAAGGTGCAAAAGGGGCAACTGGTCTATGTATTGGTCATGGAGGCGGACAAACATGCCAAAAAGCAGGGTGTAATAAAGGCGCCGAGAGCCGTACCGTCTTCTGTAAGGCTCATGGTGGAGGGAGGAGGTGCCAGCACTTGGGCTGCACTAAAAGTGCCGAGGGTAAGACGGATTTTTGCATAGCACATGGTGGAGGCAGACGATGCGGGTTTCCTGGAGGGTGCACAAAGGCCGCACGAGGTAAATCCAGGCTCTGCATCAGACATGGTGGGGGGAAAAGGTGTAAGGTTGAAGGCTGCACCCGCAGTGCTGAAGGACAAGCTGGTTTGTGCATATCTCATGGCGGTGGGCGTCGGTGCCAGTTCCCAGCATGCACTAAGGGTGCTCAGGGGAGTACCATATTTTGCAAGGCTCATGGTGGCGGAAAACGTTGCATCTTTGCTGGGTGTACTAAAGGCGCTGAAGGGAGCACGCCATTGTGCAAAGGACATGGTGGGGGAAAGCGTTGCCTCTACAATGGTGGCGGCATTTGTCCCAAGAGCGTGCATGGTGGCACCAATTTTTGTGTTGCACATGGTGGTGGGAAGAGGTGTGTAGTGCCAGGCTGTACAAAGAGCGCACGCGGTCGCACCGATTGTTGCGTCAGGCACGGTGGTGGAAAGCGATGCAAGTTGGAGAACTGCTGCAAGAGTGCCCAAGGAAGCACAGATTTGTGTAAGGCCCATGGTGGGGGCAAAAGATGCTCCTGGGGAGAAGGCAAATGTGAGAAATTTGCAAGGGGCAGGAGTGGTCTGTGTGCAGGTCATAGCAGCATGTTGCAAGAGAGGGAGGCAAGCAAGGGAGGAGGGCTCATTGCCCCCGGAGTTTTCCATGGTCTTGTATCGGCTACATGGACCTCAGGAAGAAGCTTCAACAACAATCACTCCTCCTCGGGGAACAGTGTCATTTTCGATTGCATCGATTCACAGACGAAAAGGCAACAACTCATACCTCCACAGGTATTGGTTCCATTAACTATGAAGTCCTCATCCTCGTACTCAAGTTTCCAGAGTTCCGAGCAGCAAAAGGAAGGGATAAGCAGGTACGACAATCTCATTGTCAGCAATGTCAGCAGAAAGAGTTTCGACTTCTTGATCCCAGAGGGGAGGGTCCATGGTGGAGGTATCATGTCATTGCTTAATGGGAATCTGAATAACCCCATTGACGGACTCTGAAGTCAAAGCTCACTGGCCATGAAGGAACCTAGTTTGGGGTTTAAGGTTATTTGTTGAACTGTTTATAAGATTTGGTTGCTTTAGTCTTGTTTTAATCAATAGTGGTATCGTGGTCACAGTATTTGTTTTACAGCATTGGCCAATAATGCATGTCTGCTATAATCGTTTCCCAAGTTTATAATTGTTGTAGATTAGACCATTCTGTCATACATCTACTGTTTGTGGTGGTGTTAAATTTCGTCCCCGTAATTGTATTATTTGAAATGTTAGTCTTAAGCATTGAAACAATTAATATGATGTGAATTTCTTTTCATGGGTCAAGAATAATAATCTTAAATCAAAAGAACAGTGAGATTAAATCCCTAAAGTTAAAATTAGAGGAGTACATATCCACTGTGCGAAACTACAGGGACTGAGAGTATAATGATTGTACGTGGCAGTGGCACTGCTTTTTTCAGTCTTCCCCCAACACTATATAAGGAGAAACAGAGCACTCATTCGGAACTCTCTCGTTGTGAGTCAGAAAATACTCCACACGGTTGGCGCTTCGTATTCATCATTAATCCTATTTCTCTCTTTGCAATTGGCTTTTTTCACAAAAGAAGATTCAACCTTCGCCGCTCTTCTTCTTTTAGGTAATGTAATTCAGTCTATCTTCTTTCAATTTCATTTTGATTCTCAGAATGCGAATTCTTTTGTTTGATGCGTTCTTTTGCTGGTTTTCGTGTCGAAATAGAATCGAACCGGCTGAATCGCTTTGGTTTTATTCTTATTTTTTGAATCTCTGATCATACATTTCATTTTGATTTTCTGTATTATAGAATGTCCTTGCTCTTTTTTCCCCCCTGCTTTGAGATCGTCGAGTTTTTCTCCTTGGCTATTCTTTTTTTATTTTAAAAGATTTTGATTTTTCTTTTCCGTGAAGAAATTTGAATTTCAGCGAAGGGTATGATTCTTTTTCAACCGGGCTTTGCAGTCTAAAACAGAAAACGGATGAGATACTTATTCGGCGGGAAGAGTTTATGAGAGCCCAAAGGGGTTTGGGCTTTAAGAACTCTTAATCTTTGAACATAATCTTCTCCTCTCCTCTTTGATGTCAGTGGACCTGAAAGCATTGCTTTTATTTTTGAACGCTCCAATGCAAACACCTAAATCTGACAAAGCCAAAGGCTTCAAAAACTATTAAACCTAAATTTGCTTTCAACAATTTTATTTATTTTTGCTTTAGTAAAAAGCCGACACGTGGCTAAATATACCCCGTTCAAACTTCATTCCTGCATGCCAAAAATATAGAACACCAACCCCCCCAAATATACATGCAATTTGAAAACGATAAACAGAAGGCCATGATACTGAAAGAGAGGAGAGGAGTCAATATTTTCTCTTTTCCTTTCCTTTCTTTTCTTTCATTTTCTTCCTCCCCAATCAACACCTATTGTTGTTTGGGATTTTCTATTTTCCTTGGCAAAATCTGATAATTGGGTAAGGAACAATGGCTCCAAGCAAACTCAAAAAAGCCATTGGGCGAGTCAAGAACCAAACCAAGATTAGGCTAGCCACAGTTAGCGGCAGCACCTCCCTATCGGACCTCGATGTCGCCATCGTTAAGGCAACAAACCACAAAGAGTATCCGGCTGACGATCAATACTTCCGAGAAATCGTATGCATAACGTCATACTCACGGGCCTACATCATCGCATGTGTTAACACCCTGTCGAAGCGGCTCAACAAGACCAAAAAGTTGGACCGTTGCGCTGAAATCTTTGATGTAGATCCAAAGGCTATTGGCCGAGGCGATCCTGCATACGAACAACAGTTTTTCTTTTCCACGAGGCGTGGGACTCGGATACTGAACTTGTCGGATTTCCGTGATGCCACACGGAACGATTCGTGGGTAATCTCTACCTTTGTGCGTAGTTACGCGTTGTACGTCGACGAGAGATTGGAATACAAAATTCAAGATAGACGTGGAGAAAAGCTTTATAAAACAACGTCGAGAAAGAGGAAGAGACCAACGACAAGAAAAATGCCGGTAAAACCTCTCACTTTCGTGACATGAAGACGGAGCAGATATTTACGACATTGCAGCATTTGCAACAGCTGCTTGAACGCTTTTTAGCTTGTCGACCAACAGGTGAATTTCTTTCTAGAAGATCGTATTCGTAAAAATACATGTCCTCAATGCTTACGATATTTTCTGCCGTCAAGGGAAGCAATTAGATGAGCTCGATAACTTCTATTCATGGTGCAAGACTGCCGGCATTGGACAAATTTTTGCCTATCATGAAATCGAGAAAATCACACAGAAGAAACTCGATCTTATCGATGAACTTGTGCGTTACAAGAAATCTGCAGCGCAACAGATTGAGGATGGTTTACCTAAGGCTGAACCGGAAGCGATTGAAGATGTAAATGTCGTTAAGGTGTTGCTGGCGCCGGAGGAGAAAGTGCGACAAGGACCTGTTGAAAAAGAAGCAGAGAAAGGAAAGGAAGGAGATTACTCAAAAGGTATAGTCGTGGGAAGAGAGTTTAATTATTTTAACCTAGGAAAGGATGTCATGTCGAGTGAAGAGCAAGTGGAAAATTCGCACCAGCTTTGTTCGACGGTGGTGTGCTGGCCGGGCCTTTGCCGGGTTCAGGATGGGAATCTTTTGAGGACGAAACTGATTGGGAATCGGCCTTGGTTCAATCGGGGAGCAATTTCAACCATCAGAAAGCAAATCTCGGAGGTGGATTATTGATGCTCGATGGAATGAATCAACATGGCCAATCAATGAAGGCCATGGCTTCACAAGGTTCGGCAACAACAGGAAGTGCGAGTAGCGTTGCATTCGGAACAGCCAGAAGATCAGCAGTGCTGGTGTTACAGTCACCACCTTCGTCGGATGGTAAGAACATGGGAACTAGCAGTGGAGGTGATCCATTCGCAGCGTCTTTCATAGTGACACCACCGACGTACGTGCAAATGTCGGACATGGAGAAAAAGCAGAGGCTTTTGGAGGATGAAGTGATAATGTTGGAGCAACACACAAGGAATGGATTTCAAGGAAATGCTGGAACGTGGACAGTCCAAACATCTCCTTACAGTCGAGGAGAGCATCGCTTTTGAAGCTTTGAGCTTTTAAGCTTTTCTCATTCAATCAAATTCACAGGCTTTAACTTCCATCCTCTTTTTCCATTTTTTTTAATTTTTTCCTTCATAATTTTTCGTGATTGTTGAATCAACTTGACGCGCCAAATTATTAAAATTAGAGTATCAAAAGTTTTCATAGGACCATATTATGTAGTCAATTCGGTAATCAAACTACATAAATTGTATAAATTTAACAATGTAAGATTTTACTTCAAAAAATAACGGACACGTTTATATATCATATGAAATGTGTATGCAGTTAAGAATAAGTAAATAACGCTACATACACATTTTTTATTTTAAAATTTATTTTGTAAAAAATGCTACATTCACTATTTAAAAATATTTCTTATAAAAAATCCAATCACTAAATTTAAAATTAAAATTAAAAAAAAACTTTAACCAATGCTTGCATATCTCTAAACTAATAAAAAATGGTTAATCCAATGAAAGCAATAAAGAAGTCTAAAAGAATTTCCTCTTTTAACTTTTTCTTTACCTTGATAAAAGAATTACAAGAGTGAAAGCAAAAGGAGAGAAGAAATGTTGTTATTCGCTAAAGTAGCAGAGTTTAAGGTAATAGTTATCAAGCCTTACATATTTGGACCAGTATGACTTGTACTTGGCCACAGCCAGATCCAACCATGGCTTATAGTTTCCATTGTAATGGATGACTGCTGCATTTTCTATCTCAGTTTGGTTGAGGGCAGGGTCGTACCCAAGTCCTAATACGTGCCATGCCCGGTCCAGTGGATAGGTCAAGTTATAGAAAGTGATCAGTCCCGGTGGCAATGTGCCAAGCTTCCAAAGAGTTCTATCCTCGTTCTGCAAAAATAGATTCTTCATCAATGACAAAATGATGTGTAAGAACTAATGATAATTCAAATGGTTTTGAAATAATGTTAAAATGCAAGTCTGCAGGACACTGGAGTTATCAGAACTTCCCAATATGAGGATTGAAACATGTGAAAAGCATTAGTGAACTGTTACCATATCTTGCCAATGATGATAAATTTGCGTGATGTTTCGATTTTTCCACTCCTTCAAATCAAAAATATTCATACCAAATGCCCAACCACAAGCATCTGAGTCAAAGTTCTCAGAGATTTTCGGGTTGCTGAAGTTGAGATACTTGTCGAATCTATGAAAGCTCCCTTTACAGGTCTGCACTGCACCATTCACCATTCCTTTCAGATCCACGTCCCAAAGAGGTGTTAAATCCTTCTGAACTACAATATCATCATCCAAAAATAAGATCTTGTGGAGTTTCGGATATACTTCGGGAAGATAGAATCGAAGATGATTTAGCATCGATAAGTATTTTGGGTTCCTGTACTTGAGATTGTCAGACCCAACAGAGAGAGAGGATGGGTGAGTCTTGAAATAATATTCTTTAACTCTGGCAGATTCAAGTTGTCGTAGAACGGAACAGTAAGAGGAATTCAACCACTTGAAATCATCAATGTTCTCAACCTGAACTGTTGACTTGTCAGGAGCATTTAAGATAAACCACATTCTCATTGCAGCAAAATTAAGTTTATCAGTCACTATATGGAAAACATGTTTCTCGGGCTCATTTGCATGCAGCACTGTAGAATTGACGACCACAGATGTTGCGAGTATGTTATCAGAAAATATGGCATAATGGTAAAACGAAGGATCTTCAAGCTTTTCTAAGTTCAAATCCCTTCTGTTCTGATATCCATGAAAGTAGTAGTCTGCAGCTAGCTGCAGAGGTAGGCAATGCAATGGTTTTGGGACAGTTTTTGCAGCTAGCTGAATCAAGAAGGCACTTCTTTTCTTTAAAGAATCTACATTATCCTCTGCTGACTGGAGCATGGCTCGAAGCTTCCTTGCAACAGTACGGCAATCATAGAGTTGATCCTTTGCTAAAGATAGAACATGGCCCATTGCTTTTGCCTGATCAAGTGAACTGGAAAAAGAACAACGTACTTTTGCATGAAAAACAAGAACACGTGTATCTGATAATCGATATAGTTGACATAAATTTCTCGTACCTAGTATGAATATCAGAATCAGAATTAGAATCTCCAATAACACGGAGACTTTGACCAACATGTTTCAAGAGAGAATGGTAAAGATCGTTTTGGTTCTTAGACCTAGCGATGTTTGCATAGGCTTTGGCCATAATAACCTGGTCACGCATAAGCTTCAAGGTAGAATCAGAGTTAGGATTTTCATAATCTCTTCTCCATAAACTATATTTTCCCTTGACAACGGGGTACATATTTTTCAAGTTCTCAATAGCCGCTGTTGCTTCCATCTGCTTGTCAGCCTCTGTAACTTGGCGGACAAGTTCTTTAGTACGGAGATCCCTCCTTTTTTTCCGCAACATCTAAAGATGATACTATCACAAATTTCAACCATATAAGGCACACAAAGTAAATACACATCAGTGTCAGACAATTTACCTGGCGCTTGAACTTGACAGGGCTCCATGATGCCTGGTGGCGCTTTTCAGTTTCAACTTCTTGCAAATGGTTATCACCAATAAATTGTTCAGCATTTTCTTCAGATGTGGTGCTAGCTTGGTAGGAATCTTTCAGTTTAAATATCTAGGAAATAATTACAGAACTGGTAATGTCAAGGTTTTGAGCAAGGAAAAGGAGATAGACAAGTGTTCATAATGAAACTTCCTTTTCCTGGCCATATAGATCACATAACGGTTGAAAAATGTATAAGCTGATAAAACTAAACTACTTAGCTCATACCCTTAATTTCACTAAACTTGCTATTTTGATAAATAAACATTGACATTTTAAGTTTTTTAGTATAGGACCATGAATAACTAAAACCAGTTTTATGACAACAAATGGAAGTACCTGTGAGCCATTTTGTTTGTTAGGATCTCCATCGATAGGGTTTTCCAGAACCCAAGAAGCAGAAAGGTCCGTCATTTTCACCCTACTTGTTCTAATAGTCCCAGAAGCATCGCTGTAAGTTGCAATTATGTCAATATCCTGAATGAGACAAGTTTACATGAGAATTAGTCTAATTATCAGCTAAGAATTAAAATAAAAATAAATAAATCCATTCATCACCTTCTCATTGTCATTGAAAAATAGAGGAGCAGAGGAAGCTGCCAGTTCCTGCTCAGTCAACATTTGAACCAATGGTTAGTTTGTGCAACATATTAAAGAAAACAATGGATCATGCACCTCGATAAACTGTGAATATGGGCAAAGGCATCATACATCACAATTATGAAAACTACGTAATTTTGATTGATCAATTTAGAAAATGATTCAAATCTACAATATATAAAGGAACCTTTCTGCCATACAGCTTCCGATATGCTTTGAGTCCTCTTCCACTGCAAGACATAGCATAAAACAAATAATCAAAATCAATTAAATTAAGGGGGGAATTTTCTGAAAACAGAACCCAAAAAAATTAAAAATCTCACATTGTTTTGCTATCTGATATCTCTGCATCAACAATGTTTATACTGAAAATAACCTGAAAGAATAATCATCTTAACTACTTTAAAAACAATAATTTGCTAATAAATAGAATGGGCAAAGATCGGATTAAACAAATAATTATCTAATAGAAGTTGCCATTTTTAATTTTTTACTTTAAGGATTAATTTGGGTTAAGTTAAATCAAATCATCACAAAATGATCTGAAACATCTATAATCAACCTATTAAAACCCTAGAGAGAACAAAAACATAAAAGTAGGCTAAGTGGCTAATTCAAATCCAAATTCAAGCAGACTTGTGGGTTGGGGGGAGGAAGGAGATTTTAGAAAGGAGAGATATCAGAGCGCTTACGAGTATTAAACATGAGAGTAACATGGAAATGAAGCTCAAGAATAATAATAAATTAATAATTAAAAGCTTACAAAAAAGATCAAATTAAACAAATGGCTATTTCATAAACGTCGGCATTTTTTTTTCATTTTGAACTTTACAGTCTGTTATAATTAACTTTCAGATCAGTTACATAATAATCTAAAACATCTACTATCAATCCATTAAAACCCTAGAGAAGACCAAAAAAACCGAATAATATGCTAATTCAAATCCGAATTAAAGCATGCTAATAATAAACAAAAAAAAAGGAGATTCAAGAAAGTAGGAAAGATACCAAAGTGCTTACCAGTATAAAACATGTGAATATAATGGGAATGAAGGTCGAGTAAATGCTCGAAGCAGCTTCCATGGAGATACAGAAAGAGAGAGCTTAGATTTTGGATTCTACTTAAAGTCGAGCGGGAGCGTGACGAACGGGATTGATATACGTTATGAATCGCAATCGGAATTTTCCGCCGGTTATTTTTTTTTCTTTTTGGTCGCCGTTTGTTTTTTCGACTCCGCGTTGCGTTTCTTTAAACCCGGGAACTTTGAGAAGCACGGGACAGGAGCTAGTGAGATTCCGGATCCCAGAACCGCGGTGCTGCCTTTTTATTATTATTTACTTCAATTTTGCCGGTCAAAGGGATGGATTTAAAAATACTAATAATAATGATATAGGCTATGGGAAAGGGTGATAGAGTCTAGGTTGAGACATGTTATTAGGGTTTTGGAAAATTAATTTGACTTTATGTCAGGCAGGTCTACTACGGAGGCGATTCATCTACTTCGACGGCTTATGGAGAAATATAGAGAAAAAATAAAGATCTTCACATGGCATTTTTTGACGCGTATGATAGCATACCCCGTGATACGATCTGGACGACCTTGGAAACGAGACGGATCCAAACTGCTGATATCCGGGCGATTCGTGATATGTACTGTAGATCTACTACATACGTCAGAATTACAGTTGGCGACATCGAGGCATTCCTGGTGGAAATCAGACTCTACCAGGGGTCGGCTCTTAGTCCTTACATCTTCGCCTTGATTATGGACGACATCTATTGTGCGACACCAGACGGTGTTCCATGGTGTATGCTTTTCGCTGACGACATTGTCCTAGTTGCTTAAACAAAAAATGAGTTGAATAGTAGACTGGCTACCTGGAAGACTGCTTTGGAAGAAAAAGGTCCAAGAATCAATATTGAAAAGACAGAATATTTATGTTCAAACTTCAGTGGGAACCAAAACGATGAAGATGTAGAAGTTTGCATCGAATGACACATTCTCCCCTCAAAGTATTGTTTCAAGTACCTAGGGTCTATGATACATAAAGATGGGGTGTAGATGATGACATTACATATTGTATAAAGGCGTGATGGCTAAAGTGGAGGGTTGTTACTGGAGTTTTGTGTGACAAGAAGGTGCCTCTAAAACTTAAAGGAAAATTTTATAGAATGACAATAAGACCAGCGCTGCTGTATGAATCAGAATGTTGGGCTATCAAGAAGGATCACGTTAGGAGGATGGAGGCCGCATAAATGAGAATGCTTCAATGAGTATGTGATAGGACTCTGTGGGACATGACACCAAACTCTGCAATTAGTATGTCCTTGGGGGTAGTGCTTGTATCTGAAAAATTGAGGGAGGGAAGACTACGGTGGTTTGGGCATGTCCTTAGGCGACAACCGTCGGATGCAGTCAGGAGGGTAGAGTCGATTACAGTCGACGGCGCCAGAAGGAGAGGACGACCAAGGAGGAAGTGGATAGACTGTTTGAGATCTGATTTGAAGGATTTAGTCCTTACCGAGGACATGACCTCTGACAGGAAAGTATAGAGACTTAAGACCAGGGTAGCCGAGTAGTGTGGACCACAATCATAGGGTGTAGCATCTCTGTCTTCTTTTTTAATACCTTTTGTAGTAATTTCCATGACTTCTACTTTTTATACGGTTCTGTCATTGGAATTTATGAAGGCTTAGAACTAGGGTAGTGGAGTAGTGTTGCCTTAGTTTAGGTTTTAACCCATTTGACTTTATACCTTCTCGTAACTTGCTATCACTGACTACTAGATATCATTCTCTTCATGTTTCCTCTTTTTAAATTTAGTCGAGACTTACGTTTTCTATCTATATGCAGAGATTTTATTTGCAGGGATTACTTCCCATTACAGATGCACATTTGAAGACTGCATATGAAGTCTGTTCAACTATGTATTTATTTATTTTATACATGCATTGTATTTTATCTTTATTTTTAATTTTCCGATTGCTGAAGGTCTTCCACGGAAGCTGCTCTCTACCTGGCGTTGGGGGCAATCTACTACCCTACCTCCCTCTTACCCCATTGCATATGAGAATATGGTTTTATTGTTGTTGTTTTTGTAATAATAATGGTATGTATATATATATATATATATATATATATATATATATATATATATTTACATTTACCACCTACAAATTAAGACGATAAATTTAACCGGAATTGAATTTTGATTCGGAATATTTATAGTTTTTGTAAAAATATAATTTAAATTTATATATTTATTTATCATCTAAATATTTTTGAAATTGAATCATGCCTTCATTATCTGAAATTAGTGTCATAAGCGATTACCTACAACCACACCAACAATGATGTCCAAACACGAATTAATTTATTTCGATGATTAAAAGAATCGTTGTTTTTCTTAAAGATTACTGTCGAATATCAATGACTACATCAAAATGATTGAGTATTAATTGTCATATAATTAATAATATTAAAAAAATATACTATTTTATAATCACCTTAACTTAACAAAAATACATGATTCTTCGTAATGATTTCGTCTAACGACATGTATATAATACTAAATAATATGATGTAAAATCTTAAAAGATTAGTATTTAAATTTAAGGCATTTAATATTTACTAAAATAGTTATTTTATTTCTTATTTTTTTGAGTATTTTAACTTTTAATAGTGCCTAAGCTTGCAATTTTCAACATGTTTGAAGAATGATACCGACGTTTGATTAGCAAAGTCCTTGCTAATCTTGTACCCTAATTAATGAATATTTATTGGGGGATTTTGTAAATATCATTTGGGGGTTTAGGTTAAGTGATTATGCTTCTGCCTGTAGCAAGAGAAATTGGCACTAATAAAGGGTCCCTCCACATCTTTTCCATTAACACAGTGTGGGAGAGGTGGGATTTTAGGAGGAGGAGGAAGTAACCAGGAGAAGAAGAAGAAAAAATAAGCTGGAGAAGAAGAAGGGGGTGGGTTAACAGGGGGTTAACTGCAACGTCATCAAAAACTAGTGAAAGATAACCGCAGGGACAGAAATAAAATCGAACTAAAAGTTTGATGATTGTACTATAAATTTCAAAAGTTGAATGACCAAAATACAAGCGCCCTAAAAGTTCGGGGACTATTTATGTACTTTACCCTAAAAATAATTACAATTCTAACAAGAAACCAAACACAACTCGCACTTACTAAAATAATTACAATTTAACTATTACAGTAGCCATGTATCCAACATAAGTCACACTGAAAATTGAGCTCAGATTCTAAACAAATACAAAAATAAAGCAACGGGAAAGGGAAATGCTTGTGGAACAATTAACATGTTAATATTGAGACCTGCAACAAATCCGGAAGATGTTCCAACTCACCTCGGCTGTGGACTATTCGTGTCAGCTTGTTTTGTTTCATATTTTGGTGCAAGTGGAGATCGATGGTGCAACGGCGGCTACTGGTGATGCCTACGATTTGGTTGACTTGCAGTGTGCTTTCTCGGCTCTTTCGGGTTCTCGTTTATCGACTCGATCTGTTCCAAAGTGTATACGACTTCTTTCATCGATGGTCGGTACTTCGGTTCGGATTCTAGACATTTTAAAGCAAGCTGGGCAACTCGAACTGCGGCTTTGGAAGGATGTTTGCCCTCCAACCGATGGTCCATTATGTTCTTCAATTTCCTTCTATTGGATAAATACGGTTTTACCCAGTCCACCAGACTATGTTGCCCACTGGGGCGATTTGTATCTAGTGCTCGCAACCCTGTTAATATTTCAACTAAAACGACACCGAAACCGTACACATCACTCTTTACGTATAAATGTCCTGTTAAATCAGCAGATGATTCACGTCATGAGAAGTGCAAAGTGGGGTTTTGCTCGATTCTCTTGAAAATGCAACAATATGTAGAGCAATGCAACGACATCACATATGAAAACACCCGAATTACTGAAAGGTTTCGGAGGATTACCTGTAGCAACATACTCCGGAGCTGCATATCCATATGTGCCCATTACCCTTGTTGTAACATGCGATTGGCTGGCCGAAGGACCCAATTTGGCCAACCCGAAATCTGATAACTTGGCAGTATAGGACTGCAATGTAACCAAGCCAAACCACATTAAAATTCATGTCTCCTTTGTATGTATTCAAAGAGAATGCTCTGCACTTCATCAATTATTGAGGTCTTTAATTTCTAAACGAAAACACAAGTTGCATGGAAAGTTACCCCATCGAGTAGTATATTTGAGGCTTTGAAATCTCTGTAAATTACTTTCTTGTCTGAAGAGTGCAAGAAAGATAGGCCCTTTGCAGCTCCTATCGCGATTGTAATTCGTATTTTCCAATCAAGAGATTGGACAGTAGAACCCCCTGGTAACAGAAACCATGATGCGTGTGATGAACAAAGTTAACTCGCCAGAAAACAGAGATTGAAAGTGTGCACACATAAAATATATCCTCACATGATAAAACCGGAGATATAAACAACTAATGTTTAACTCTTACTTCCAAACAGATGGTTTTCCAAGCTACCCTTCTGCATAAACTCGTAAACGAGAAGAAGCTCTTTATCCTCCCAACAGTATCCAAGAAGCCTTACAAGGTGAGGATGAGACAACCTCCCCAAGAAATTTACCTCTGACTGCACCAATAAATGACAGAACAGAAGCTTTAGCAACCACGGATGTCTATACGTTTTAAATATTCGAAGAAAACCAGTAAAACAAGCAGTAACCAATTCCCAAAATGCAGGTGTGGATATGTGAGCTATGGATGTACATCATTAAGAGAGATTTTGAAGTTCTATAATATGTACAAGCCAAAAGCGCCTTTGCAAGATGACATGGAGCGATATTATGATGTTATACGAGATATGGCATTCGTAAAACTATCTGAGCAACCACTGATGTCTATGTTTTAAATGCTTGAAGAAAACCAGTAAAACATGCAGTAACCCATTCCCAAAATGCAGTAACCAATTCCCAAATTGCAGGTGTGGAAACGAGAGCTATGGATATGCATCATAAAGAGAAATTTTGAAAGTTCTATAACATGTACAAGTCAAAAGCACCTAAGCAAGATGAAATGGAACAATATTATGATATGGCATTCGTAAAACTATCCGAGCTACAAATTTTGGGGGGTGTTGGTGGGGCACGAAAACCGGTTATTTCAAAATGCAAACTGAAAAAGGCACTTCCAAAAGTGGCAATGTAAAGCATAATAATATGGTTTAGCCTTGAATAATTATTCACTTTTCAGTCCTCTTCACTTTGCATAACAAGCTTTGAACTCTAAAGACATCATCTTCCATAGATAGCAGAAAACTTATTTGTTTCTTTCAGTTCTCTTTAACGAGGCATTTTTGGTAATTGGAAGCTTTTGTCTAACACACATGAACGATTCAGCTGAGGAGTATCCATGGAATAATTAAAGAAGAAAAAACAAGTAACAATATCTAGAGAATCAATGAAATTACCTGCCATTCCTCAAATCCTTGCCAACCCTCACAGCTGAGTTTCTTAACAGCAATGGGGGTTCGAATTCCACTCTTCCCTGCCGCCTTGTCATCGAGCCAGCCCTTGAAGACTTTACCGAAACCCCCCTCACCGAGCACCATGTCAGGCCTAAAGTTCTTAGTGGCAACCTTCAATTCTGCAAAACTGAAGTCCCTTAGGTTAGGGGTGGGCAAAATTTGCCCATTTTGAAAAGCCTCATCCCCACTCGAAGCCGAGAACCTGCTGTCCCGGGAGATGTTACTGCCCCTAGATGTTGCAGTTGAAGCTGTGTTGCTGGTTGACTGAGATATAACTATGGAAATCCACAGAATTGAAATATGCTTAGAACAAAAAGAACATGCATAGTACATTTTCCAGAAATACACAAGCCAATGACCAAAATACAACAACAAAATAGCATCAATATCTGGATTTTGGTGCCGAGTGCAAAAAGATCTTAAACAATCAATTTCAAGTTCATTATTTAGCAAAAATACGAAACAATATATGTTTTGAAGAAGAAGAAGAAGAAGAAGAAGATAAATACCTGAACTGAGAAGAGCAGTGGTCCTTGGTGTTGGATTATCAGCTGGAGAACACCAGCAGATTCCCATCTTCAAAATATATCTTATCCCCAGACCAAAAACAAAAGCAAATATATATTTCCAACAAGCTGATGATAAGAAAAATAATCAAAATTCTTGCTTTAATCAACCACAAGGAAAGGGGTTTGCTATTTCACATCAGTTGACTTCAATGTTGGTTTTCCTTTACACAAACTGGGTTTTCTTTATTCAAGAAAATCAAACAACTAAACTTTGACAACGGAAATAAATAATAGAAATATACATTGCAAGCAAACAAAATTTAACAGTGCATGTGCTCTGGGTATATATATATATATATATATATATATTTTAAAATGAAAAGACAGAGTCTTTGGATCTTAACGGACGACACAGAGTTTCTTAACGTATCTTGGGTCAACCGCCATGTCGGATAAGTCAGTCAAATCAGCCAAAATAAAAGTCTAATTATACGTTAGTCCCTATATTATGCAGAATTTGATATTTAATCTATCTCTACTTTAATTTAACATAATTTAGTCCTTTACTTTTATAATGTTTTTAGTAGGCCATATTATCAGTATGGTTGGATGTTGTCCTTAAAGTGATGATATGAATATTTTTATAGATTATTATTTGATAGTAGAAAATTTTAAAACAAATATTAAAATGATATTATGCATCTTTTGAGTGGATTTTAATAAATTTTATTTTTCACTAACAGTGTACATGATAATAATTTATTTATTACTAATATTCAGTCACATAATTAGATTTATATAGAAATTCAATCAATAATAAATTGGATGTTAATATAATATTTAAAAGTAAAAGTGACGGTAACAATATAATCAATTTGGATCTATAATAATAATAATATAAAATAACAAAATTACATTAAATTAAATATCAGATTTTAGCATAATTGAGAGACTAATACTCCAGATTTCAAGTGAAGAATTTCACGTTTATTTATTCCATTGTTTGAAGCTTCAACTTTGCTTTGGTAAGCATTGTGGAATAGGACCAAATGGAAAAGTTAATAATTATTCACGCCATCAAATTAACTATTTTAAATTAATAAACAAACTATATGAATACAACATGATAAATGTATAAACGTACCAATCGCGCTAAAAAATTCAAATTATCATATATTTTAAATATTTTTATTGATAATTTATTTTCGTTATTAGAATTTTATAAGTTGGTCGTCTCCTAAAATAAACCCGCTATGAAAACAGAGAACTTATTCAACTTCTTAATGCTTAGTTGCTATTCTCATGTCATGTAAACTCACCAGAGTTATCAGCTAGCTGCAATGAAGTACTCTTACAGGAACTCCAACATGATCAAAACTGAATAGTAACTCCAAAATCTTTATTTAGATTTGCAAACACGAAGGAAAGGGAAGTGATTTACAGGCATGGCAATCCTTGAAAAATAAAAACAACATTTCTAATATCATACAAAATCTTTATTTAGATTGGGTTCTACGAATGCGATTCGAACGAGTAGTAGTTCGGAGACCTCACCTTCGTTGCGAGATTGCATGTCTGGTCTTTCTCAGATAAAATCTCCATTACAGAAAGCCAAGTCCCTGAAAGTGCAAGAACGGCTCCAAAGGTCATAATTCCAACATCCAAGACGCATCCCTTCCATCCCTGCTCGTCCTTGAATGCCAGCAAAGGTAATATGAACCCCAAACAGCAACACGCGCTGCTTCCGATCAAGGATAAGAAATCCGCGAAATTCGGCACGAACAAAGCTACCAAACTTACAAACAAAACAAGTAGCCATCTTAGCCACAAGCAGTACCTCCCTCCCGAAAATCGCCTCTCCACAATCTCATAAACCGGATTCATCATTAACGGGAAAGTGAAAAACAAGTTGATGCAAAGGCCTAGTTGAACCAAAAAGCTGATCCAGCCAGGCCCCAAGTTAGAAGTTACAATATCTTTGGTTGCAGCACCAAAAGCAATGTAACCCAGAGCTCCAAATTCTCCATACATCAAAGTAGTCAAACCCATCCCGAGTGCCAAAATTTTCCCAAACTTAGCATTGTCTTTCATCTTAGATTCTATAAGCAAAACCATAGCAATCCCTTCATATCCGAAAAGCGCCAAACCCATGCCATAAAAACACAGAGACACCCCCAAAAGCCTTAACTTCCTGTCTTTGCTTCATAGTAAGTCTCAAATCCTCAACCATAACCACTCCCATGGCCCCAATATCCACCACATCAGCAAAAATACTTAATGGAGCTAAATGTGTTAATATTTTAATCGAATTCGACCCCAACTGGAATGGAAAACATCCCCATATATACAAATTCTTCGCCGTAAAACGGCACATCCCTGAGTTTAAACTCGAATTCATGGATGCTTCATTGTGAAAAAGATTGATTAGGGTGTTGGAAACGAATATAAGATATCCAATACAAAATCCAGCTTGAGAGAGAGTAATAAGTACATCAACAACTAGCCTGCCAATATAATTTCAGCAATGAGAGGATAATAATCAAATTAGAATGTTTCCCCCATTAGAATATATACATAAAAACAATAAAACCATCAACAAGAGACAGCTTGCAAGCAAGGAACAGATGATCAATAAAGAAAAGGTTAAAATATGTTCCAAGTCCCTTCGCTCTTCATACATTTGAAACGTAGTCCCTATTCAATTCCGATCGTTAACACCATTAAAATTCTTTAGTTAAATTTAAGTCTATTACATAGTTGCTAAGTTAGTATTTTTTTTTTCTAATTTCAAATTTCACATCAGTCAAAATAAGAATTTTAATAATGTTAATAATTGAACTTGATTTTTTAAATTGAGAAGTATAGGAACTAAACTCTTATAATTAAAAGTAAGAGGACTAAATTTTGAAAGTACTAAGGGTACAGGAACTTAGAACATTATTTAACCTAAGGAAAATTATTGGTGCATTTCAGTTTCATTGTTGAAGAACTTCAAATGATAAGCATGTCATAATCCAGTGCAAAACTAATTATGAATTCCTTTAAGATTCAGACAAAATTTCATAAGATTATGTAAGAAATAAAAGAAAGACAATCTAAATCTAGGAAATAATTCAAAACGTAATTAAAAACAACAAAACCTGTCAGATGTGCCATAAACAGCGAAATCCAGATCGCCAAAACAATTAACTTCGGTGATGCCATTGTCAACTAAGTCAAGCTTACGGCGGATTTGAACCAGAAGCAACATACATTATGTGGTGGAACCAGCAATGAAGAAAAGAATGAGCAAGCCCATGATCCGTCCAGTTCTTTTGAAAGTGTAAGGCATTCCTAAAACACATGCATCGACTATGGCTATAAAAATATTGTCCAATGTCTTTGGATGCGACAATAATGGCTTCAGCTCGCCTATGAGAGGTGTTTCTTCTTCCGGCAGAGGAGACATCAATTTTCTCGAAGATAAGGACGAGTTCATTTCCTTATTAGACACCATGGATGATTGATTCCTCGATCAAAACAAAATTTAGGTTAAAACGTTCTTCTACAGATGGAATTTGAATTTCTTTTATGTGGAAATTTGAATGCAAGATGTGTAGTCAGTAATCACAAAAACAAAATATATTTTTGAACTTAAAAAATGCAAAATAACACACTTTTGATGGAAAGAGATGGAGATGATAAGTGGGAACTTATATTTTATAATAGGATAAATTATGCATTTAGTACCTAAACTATTAATTTTGGTCCGTTCTAGTACCTGAATTTTCAACTTTTTCAAAATCATACCTAACATTTAGTTTTTGATTCATTTTAGTACTCCATCGTTAAAAACTCAAATCGTTTAGTACCTAAACGATCCATTTTTGTTGGAATTTTAGGCTCTATGAACAATAAAAAATATAGCCATGAAGGGGTGAGTTTTATTTTTTGAAAAATTGGGAATTAAGGATAAACGATAGGAAAAATAGGCGCAATGTGGAAATTTGAATGCAAAATGCGTAGTTAGTAATCACAAAAAAAATATATATTTTTGAACTTGAAAATGCAAAATAACACATTTAGATGGAAAGAGATGGAGACGATAAGTGGGAACTTATATTTTATAATAGGGTAAATTATGTATTTAGTACATAAACTATTAATTTTGATCTATTTTAGTACCTAAACTTTCAATTTTTTTCAAAATATACCTAACATTTAGTTTTTGATTCATTTTGTACTCCACCGTTAAAAACTGAACGCGTTTACTACCTAAACTATTTGTTTTTGTTAGAATTTTAGGTTCTATGAACAATCGAAAATATAGCCATGAGGGGCGAATTGATTTTTTGAAAAATTTGGAATTAAGGAGAAACGATAGGAAAAATAAGGAAAAATAAGTACATATAGAAATTTGAATGCAAAATGTGTAGTCAGTAATCACAAAAACAAAATATATTTTTGAACTTGAAAATGCAAAATAACACAATTTTGATGGAAAGAGATGGAGATGATAAGTGGGAACTTATATTTTATAATAGGGTAAATTATGCATTTAATACCTAAACTATCAATTTTGGTCCATTTTAGTACCTAAACTTTCAATTTTTCAAAATCATATAGTTTTTGATTCATTTTAGTACTCCACCATTAAAAACTCAACATGTTTAGTACATAAACTATCTATTTTTGTTAGAATTTTAGGCTGTATGAACAACCGAAAAATATAGCCATGAGGTGTCGAATTTTATTTTTTTAAAAATTGGGAATTAAGGAGAAACGATAGGAAAAATAGGCACAATGTGGAAATTTGAATGCAAAATGGATAGTCAATAATCGCAAAAACAAAATATATTTTTGAACTTGAAAATGCAAAATAACACACTTTTGATGGAAAGAGATAGAGACGATAAGTGGAACTTATATTTTTTTCAAGAGTCATTCAAAGGCATTTTCTTAATCCAAGTCATGAGGGTATTTAGGTCATTTTGGTATTCGAGATAGATTTATTCATTCCATAGCTTAAGGGTATTCAGTCATTCAAAGGCTTGGGGGTATTTTAGGTTATGTCACAATTCAAGGGTATTTCAATCCTTTACTTTTGTCTAGTCTTTCCATTTAATTCAT